AGTCCCGGGATCGAGTCCCGCATCGGGCTCCCTGCTCGGCGGGGAGTCTGCTTCTCCCTCTGACCCTCCCCCCTCTCATGTGCTCTCTGTCTCTCTCATTCTCTCAAATAAATAAATAAAATCTTTAAAAAAAAAAAAAAGTAATGTGTATGTTCTACAACAACATAGGTTAAGACAGGACACTTAGGCCTTGAAATGTACCAAGAAGAATGATATAAAAGACAGCCCTAAGTTAAATGTTATATAATCAAGTCAATACAAAAACCAGAGTTAAAAACATCAGTTAGTATGACAAGAGTGTAACACTCATCAATGCTGAAAATATCATTTTTTACTTTTATTTTTGAACTTGTAGTATTTAGTTATCAAAACACATTACCTGGGAAGCTGATGTCAATCACTGAGACAACAAAAAATGCACATAATATCTAATTTTCATATAAAGCCCCCTTTCATTTGCTTTCAGCTCATAAAAAGAATTAGAAACATTTTTACCAGATGCTTTTCTTTAAAACAACGAATCTATTTTTTCCACGCCTACTTATTATTTCCTAAGCCAAGTTTTAGTTTCACCTCTACATTTCTAACACTCATTATACAGTGACGTTTCTAATAACAAAGACACATTTTAATGCTTTAGTAACTGTAGAAAGGGAATATTAAATACAATAAAACATATTTAGATACTTACTAAATATGCCTTTGAGATTAACAAGTCTTTGCTTTTTAAAGAAATCTCAATAAAAAATATGTATTATAGTATATGTCAAATATGGTCAGCCAAAAATAACTCTGCAGAGAACGCCATACTAAGTGCCAGGAGGCCTACTTCTTCAAGGAGTTAACAATTCTTTCAATATTGGCACATTTTCACCTGGGGGCCTCAAATGACTCATATGTGTGGTTGAAATATTTATCTCCCAGGCCCTTGGGGCAGCTGAGCAAGGCTTGGGATGGAAAGTTTCCTGGCCACTCCCCTTCAGCCATGAGAAATCTCTTTTGTATATCACAGCGCTATCCAAGTATTTTTTGTGTGTCAAGGTTGGGAAGCACTGCTTTACAGAGTACAAATAAAGCCTTTATATAATACAATTAAAGGCTTTATATACATGCATCCAATCATACATACACATATATATATATACATACATACGAACAGGCAGTCCTTGCTTTGCATGCAGTATGGGATGATAAAAATGATACAAGTTGAAACCATGCAAGCTATTTTAATGATGTAAAAAATGATAATTGTTCCATAACCTTTAAAACTTTTTGTCAAGAGGTGCCTGGGTGGCTCTGTCAGTTAAATGTCCAACTCTTGATTTCAGCTCAGGTCGTAATCTCATGGGTCATGATCAAGCTCCACATCAGGGTCTGCACTCAGTGGGGATCTGATTGAGATTATCTCTCTCCCCTTCCCTTTGCTACTCTCCCCACTTGTGCATGTGCATGTGTGTGTGTACTCTCTCTCTCAAATAAATAAATAAATCTTAAATTTTGTTGTTGTTGTTGGGACACCTGGGAGGCGCAATTGGTCAAGACTCCAACTCTTAGTTTCAGCTCAGGTCCTGATCTCAGGGCTGTGAGATCAAGCCCCCTGTTGGGCTCCGCACTCAGTGAGGAGTCTGCTTAAGACTCTCTCTCCTCTGCCACCCACCCCCATGCTCTCTCTCTAAAATAAATAAATAAATCTTAAAATTTTTTTTGGTCACATTATGAATTCTCCCTCAATTATAAATGTATAGGGAAATGAAAAAAAAAAAGCAAAACTAATATTTACTTAGTATACTGTAATTTAAAACATTAAAAACACTGAAGGTATTTTATTTTTTTACAAAAAAAACTTAGCAGGAGCAGTTTGAACACTGCTTGTCAAACCTTCTTCTGGAACAACTTATGATAGGAAGCAAGCATCTTTTCTATGCCGTGGACTGTCATACTCCTTTCTAAGTTAGGATCAGCTTCCAACATTGTATCCTTTGTGTTTTATTATGTTTTTTTTAAGATCTTATTTATTTGACAGAGAGAGCGAGCACAGGCAGGGGGAACAGCAGAAGGAGAGGAAGAAGCAGGCTCCACTGCTCAGCCCCAATGTGGGGTTCAATCCCAGCACCCGGAGACCATGACCTGAACCGAAGGCAGATGCTTCACCGACTGAGCCACCCAGGAGCCCCTCCTTTGTGCTTTAAATGTCAGGAAATATCTCCTTCATGTAAAATCTCATACGGGTATCACTTTTTCATTCTTTATGTCACAACTACTTTCCTCATTTATGTCCCTAAATTTGCCTTCACTAAATTCCTGTGGCGGCATATCTAGAGTCTCTTGAACATCAGCAGTGTCAACATTCCCACTATCAGCTGTTTCTCCTGTAACTCCAGTTATGTTCACTTCGAATTTCACTTCCTGCAGTATCACTTTTTATTTCTTTGCTGTGCTTTAATCATTGTTGGCCAACTCTTTGATTATCCACTTTTATAAAATTACATGAGTTTATCACTGGGAGACAAGGATGGAACACAAATACACACTTTGTTTTTTGTGTATGAACTCAGTAACAGGTGCACAGTGACCACTGACAGAGTTTGGAAAATGGGACATGACTGGTCATTGGTCATGATGTGCATCTGTTATTTATGTAGTGATATGTGGACTGAAGAGTAAGCGGTGAAGTAGTCAATACACTGTAGTAACTGAAACTGGTTTATCTCAGAACTGTGCAAAAGCAAGGCCTGCCTTATGTCAACTATATAGAACTGATATATATTAAAGGATTAGGAGGTAGATACAGAAGTTGTGATAAGATTACTTTGGGAATTTTCTTTTCTTTTAAGATTTTATTTATTTATTTGACAGAAGAGAGAGTGAACGCACAAGTAGGGGAAGCGGCAGGCAGAGGGAGAGGGAGAAGCAGACTCCCCGCTGAGCAGGGAGCCCAATGCAGGGCTCGATCCCAGAACCCTGGGATCAGGACCTGAGCCGAAGGAAGCAGCTTAACGAATGAGCCACCTTTGGGAATTTTCTTTAAGGAGTATCTTTCAATGTTTTTATGGGACCTGAAGATAAAAAGAGTACTACAACTGAGGGGAAGAGAACATATTCATAGTAAAGTGAAGCAGACAAACATTAACAACAACAAAAAAAGTACATTTATTCTACCTGAAAAAGAGACTATGAGCTACAGAAGTGGTTCTCAAGATGCAGGCCCCAGACTAGCAGCATCAGCAGCACCTGAGAACATGCTAGAAATGCTAAGTCTTGGGTCCCAATCTAGACCTACTGAATCAGACACAGTAGGGTCAGGGCCAGCAATCTCTACTCTAACAAGACCTACAAGTGATTCTGATGAGCCACCATGTTTGAGAATTACTGAACTCATTTCCTACAAACCAATGT